GATGACAGGCGTGAGCCACTGGGCCTGGCCTGTTATTTTTTAAATTGTGAAAATACTGCATTTCACCCTGGAAACTTACGCTCATAAAACTGTTTTGCACTGTAACAATTCTGCACCAGACACCAGGCAAAGGTCTTGGAAAAAGCTGTGGTGGCATGCGCACTGAACTGCTGGACCAGCTGAGCACCAGGTTGCTCAGACAACACTAGATCACTTGCAATTACTAGAGTTACGGAGAAGGGGAGACAGAGGCAACCCCACCTACCCAGGTGTGAGTGTGAATTAGTGCAGACCCTCAGAGGGCAGTTTGGTAATAGCTAACTAAAAAAGTAGAGCCACGTATCCTTTTTTTTCCTTTCTCCCATAGAGAAGACATACCCCTTTAATACAGGTCTGTGCATGCTACTCTGTAGCTACGCTGGTACTTTGCATATGGGAAGACAAAGACGGTCACTGCTGCACTGTTTTAATAGCAAGAAACTGGAATCAGGGACCCATCTGATTGCAAAACTCATAAATGACACCCTTTAAAAGAAAAGTTTCATGTAACGGAGACCTCCTGCAAGGGGACCATCATCATAAAATGAGCTCATTGTCCATTTCCCACCTCCTATAACTGTGTTCCTTAACCACCCCCTGCCTCCAGGATCCGTGGCGGGGTTGGGGGGCCTCCAGCCTGAGCCTGTCTTTAGGTGTGCTGCAATGGGCTAGGTGGCCTGGTGGGTGAGGGTGAGGGGAATCCGAGGAGCATAAGGGGTTGCTCCAGCCTTTGGCCCTGGAAGGCCTCCTGAGAGCAGGCTCTCACCACTTCCGTAACAGCCTGCCCGTTTGCCCCTCCCAGGCAAACATGGGAAACAGCAGGACCAGGCTCCACAGCCCTGTACCTGATACAGTTTGTATTCATCTGCCTCATGTGCACAGCAAGGGATTGGGCAGGCTGCCCTTTGTAAGAAGGTGTTCTAAACGCTGAGAGCCCCGGGCTGCCTCTGGGGTATCCTGGGTCAGGATCCAGGGGCGGACATTTGCATCGTGTGTCCAGGGGTCCCTAGGCAAACTGAACTCTTGAGGAATCCTGCAAGCGCCTGAACTGTGCTTATTTTTACTTGAGTTCTGATACACAAGCATGGTCTGTCTCGCATACGTAATATTTATCTATTACACACAAAGAAATGGCATAACATTAACACAGCTAGCCTGTAAGTCACATCTTAGTCTTGCAAATGTGCAGAGGAGCTGGGGGCAAACTATGACATAAGATATTAAATGTGATGTAAATGTGTGATGTATTCTAAATCCTGAGTGTATCCCATGTAGACCGGCTGGTGGTGGTATCTGGTTCCTCCTTTTAGCCAATGCCACTGATGGCAGTAGGGAAACAGCACTTTTAGAAAATGTAAGAGCTTTCTGAAACTATTTGGTAACAAGTAACTACTGTTATCTATAGTTTTAGCTGCTAAATCCAGGGTCACTGGATTTATCTCAATCCCTGACTTTTCCATCGACTTCAGAGAGAGTCATTCTTTGCTTTGGCATCTTTAATTTTCGATCCACAAGCATGGCGTGAAAATACTTATGCTTTCTTAGTAGTATTTCAGACATGAATAAGTTAATACTTGCCCTTATCACTTGCGTAGAAAGGAACTCAGTACCATACAAAGTTTGTACTCTCTGAATGCCTTCCTCTGCGCCTGGATTTTTAATATCTTTTTTGTATGTGTTTTAAACATTCTCGTATACAATTAAGCATAACTGTGAGCGTAGGTAAACTACTCATATTCCAGGATTAATTTATGTAACCATATTACTTTCACTTAAAATATGTTTAAAGCAGATCCCTCTCATTCCTGTGGACCTGCACAGCGTCCGGTACAGTGACCACCAGCTACATGTGGCTATTCCCACTGAAATGAATTAAAATGAAATACAATTTAAAATTCGATCCTTCAGTGGCACTAGCCACACTGCCAGTGCTCTGCAGCCACAGATGGCTAACGGCCACCACACTGGACGCAGTGGACGGAGGCTCTGTCCATCCACTTCCATCACCCACACAAGTTCCACAGATGGGGCTGCTGCTACGGTCTTATACTACTGGATATCTAGTAGTGCCCACCTGATAGCACATGCTAACTATCTGTCGAATGAATACAATAATTAGTTTTAACTTGTCTTAATAATTCTTAAAATGTGACAGTCAAAACGGAAGACGTCCGCTTGTTTTACACAGTTGGATTAGCTGGGGTCTTTCCTCCCTTCTGCCTACTCCCAGCTTTGTTTTTAGAAAACGTGCCACAGATTTTGGATCACACGCTCCCAGTATGTATCTGATTATTTCATTCTGGCCAAATCTGTCATATTTGTTTCTCCAAATGAATTATCTAAATATTATTTTACCCAAACTGAGTGTTTGCAATTAGGTAGATGATGTACATGTTAAACCTTCCAGGGCGCTGATTTATTTTTCAATGTGTTAGTATCAAATTCTAGCAAATTTATTTCTTAGGCAAAGAAATCATTCCCTTTTCAAAGCCTTCTTTTATTTAAAAAGAAATCAAGCAAGTATCCCAGCATACCATGGGTCAAAGAGGAAACTGGAAACTTCCAGGGCAAAATCTTAGACCCAAGATGAATTCTGCAAGGAAACGTGATGTGAAACTGATCCAGCTATTTGTAGGATTACAATAAATACACCTTTGCCCTCAACTCCACAATTTACTGCCAAGCTGCACAAGACGGGATACAAAAGGAGCCAGGCGGAGAGGCTGTTAGCGGATCCCTTCACTCCAGAGGCCAGTTTTAACCCAACACAAGGATTCTTTACTGCCTCTGTCCCTGAGTAAACAAACACCTTCCCCCCAAGGACGTTTCCCTTTCTCCTGCCCTCTTTGCAAACAACATCTGAATTTGCACGTTCTCTCCAGGAAATCAAATGAATGTAACTTACCTAACCAAAGAAACTGAAGAACACGCCATAAATGGAAAGATCGGTTCCTACACTTCAGTATTTTCTCCAGTAGGCCTTTCTGTTAAAACAAAAAAACATATTTCTCCTGCAGAACCCTTTATAAATATGGTTTTGATGATCACAATTACATTGAGACAGTCTCCTACAACAATAAACGACTTTTGGATCTGTTCAACAGAAAGAGAACTTTGCAGCTGTATTCAAGTAAGCAACAAAAGCAGAGTGAACTTTCATGGAGTTAGATTGCATTGAGACGAGTCAAGTTATGGTTCAGGTCTATCTCTTTCATTATATGTTTCAGTTGTCCTGATTCAAAATCTAAATAACTTAAAGGGTGAGTTCGTGGAATTAGAATCTTAACACCAGAATAAAAGGGTAGCCTGCGTACTACGATCCCAGGGAGGACAAGGGGTCACCCCCACTTTCATAACGTGGCCTGACCCTTTTCGACCGCGGACAATTGATTCGAAGGACGCCGGCTGTCCAGCCCTGGCGGGCCACTACTGACCTAGTCCTAAGTTAGGAACAGCCCTGCAAACCGCCCCCTCCCCCTCCACTTCATCAAAATCGGGGAACAAATACAGAAAAGGTGCAGCTGGCTTTCTACCCACACGTGCCCTAAAACTCGGGGACTGGATCCACTTTTCACAGCTGTTTAATAAGAACTCCGGGCAGTTCGTATTACTTCTTTCTTAGAGTGCTTGGTGGTTTCAGTTAATGCATTTTCCTCTCTCGCTTTTGAGGGGAAAAGCCTGGGCTGCCGGGGTTTGTGGGCCCCTCCCCCGGACTTCATCTTCCTTTCCTCCCCCAGCCCCCGACCCGTTTTGCTCCAGTCCAGAGCAGAGCGACTCCCCCACCGCCGAGGAAAAGCCAGTTCAAGAAGCCGGGAAAGGGTGGGGCCCCGCGCGCCCCGGAGGAGCGCCCCTCGAAGGCGGGGGCAGGAAGCGGCCGCCGCGCCCCGTCCCGCTTCCCTCCCTTAGAGCCAGAACAATGGCTTTTTGCCCGGAAAACGGAGTTGGGAGCAAGGCCGGGCGCGCCCCGGGGACCACGCGGTACTCGGTGGGCGCCTCAGAGCCGAAGCCCCTAGG